ACTCTCTGTAAACCGCTTAGAGAGGGCTGAAAGCCCTATGAAGCGGTATATAAGTCTACTACTGCTATTAAGGGAAGATCCCATGTGCCTCCTGCTTCCTCTTTTTAACTGTAATGTAATACTGTCATTAGAAATATTTATTGTTCATGATTTTATTGTCGTTGGATGTTTGTAAGTCACCCGGAGTTGCCTCGAAGTGGTACAGGTGGCAAAGAAATATAATAAAAACAAACAAATAAAATAAATATATTTATAGATAAGCTTTTTAGTTCCTGGTTATTACCGGTTCCTTTACTTGGTACATAAAACGAGGGAAGTATTCCCACATTCAGTTTAACTGCAAGTGTGAATGGGGTTTTTTTTTGGGGGGGGGGGAATTGTATCCTCTGGCAATTAGTTGAACTGGGTTTATTATTTTTTTTTTCCATTTTCACAACATATATCTCTTCCTCCTTCAATTGATGCACAGGATGAAGAAATAGGATCTAGATTCCTCCCCCACCCTCATAACAACTTTGGTTGTTCATGAATCATTATCATTGTAATTATATTCTTTATCTTCTCTTCAGGGAGAGGTTAGAAACAAACAAACAAAAAATAATATATTAATATCACTGCTGTACAAATAAATTGCATCACAAGATGCTTACCTTTCAATGCCGCTCAACTTATGGGAATGCTTTCTTGACAATAATAAACCACCTCCCCATGACGCCTATTGAAATGAAGCACAGAGTTATCTGAATCAAAAGATTCCACCTGTTATCACATTTTGCCAGCCATACCTACTACCTTTCAAAAATATCAGGGAAAAGAGAAACTAAATCCCAAAATGAGAAAACAGAGAAAAGAGAAAAGTCTGATTGTCTGATTTTATAAATGTTTTGCTTTTCCCTAAGTAGAATAGAGAATAGTTCTTTCTGTTCTGTTATATTCTGGGAGAGGAAGCAGCGCTTGAATGGAAAGAATTGTGTTCTATAGGAATTAAAAAATAAAAGTTATTGTATTACAGTAGTATTAATTATATACTTCAATAGTGGAAGGAAAAACTAGAATATCCAATTTTGGAGAATCAATGATACCAAGTGTGAAGGAATGGAACAGGAACAAGAACAGGAGTAGAATAGAATAGAATAGAATAGAATAGAATAGAATAGAATAGAATAGAATAGAATAGAATAGAATAGAATAGACTTTGGAGGTCTTCTAGTCCACCCCCAGGAGATCCTATAACATTTTAAGTGGCTGTCCATTCTGTTCTTAAAAACTTCCAGTAATGAAACCCCCATGATTTCTGAAGGCAATGTGAATATACATCTTACAATTTAAACATGAAATTGACTAATTAGAAAATATTATTTCAAATTCATTTAGACACTCAAAGAATGATCATTATATATATATATATATATATATNTTGTTGACAAGAGGAATGGCTGTGTTTATTGTTTAATGTTATATGGCCCCGGCTCTGCACAGTATATATGTGACTGTACGAAAATGAAAATGGAAAATAAAAACACATTTACATTAAAAAAAACTAAGAAAGCAACCGACTCATTCATCTTTAGTCGGATGCTTCATCCATTAATGAATGTGCTCCTACTTTAGCTCTCCACATTAGCCACAATTTGAAGACATCAACATGCCGGCCACACTGGATTGCCTTGTCTCCGGTGTCATAAACTGTATCATAAGCCTTGTCTGGTTGGAAGAGATAGTCAGCACGGAGCTGGTTGCAGGCTTGGAGAAGACCCTGGAGGAGATACAGAATGAGAAAAGCTTCTAACAACAATTTTATTTTACATATTGTTATGATCTGCTATCCTTCTAGAAATGAATCGGGACTGGACTGTGATTCCCACCAAGCCAAATGTATAATATCCATGCATTACAAGCGCTCCTCAGTTAAGGGCCATCGTTCAGTGACTAAAGTTGTGATAGTACTGAACAAATGGTAATGACAACCAGTCCTCAAAATTCTGGCTGTCACTGCAGTCCTGTGCTCATCATTGGTTCATGATTCAAGTGCTTGGCAAGAGTTGTAGTGTCTCAGGGTCATGTGGGCTACCTTTTGCAATCTTCCTTGTCAGTTTCCCACAAGCAGAGTCAACGGTGATGCCAGCAGGGAAAGTTGCAAGTTAGTTCCATCACTTTTTTCTCCTAAGGAGCCTCACTTGTATTCCGTAGCAAGCGCGTGCTGGATCAAACCCTCCCCAGTTCCACTAAACATCTCTATTGCCTGTAGACCCATGGTGGTACAGTGGTTAGAGTGCAGTGCTTCAGGCTTCTTCTGCTGACTGCTGGTTCCCAGCAGTTTGACAGTTCAAGTCCCACCGGCTCAAGGTTGACTCAGCCTTCCATCCTTCCGAGGTCAGTAAAATGAGGACCCGCATTGTTGTTGGGGGCAATATGCTGACTCTAAATGACTTAAAGAAGGCTGTAAAAACAATGTGAAGTGGTATGTACTGTATTTTTTGGACTATAAAATGCATTGGAGTATATGTATCAGCATCATGATTTTGAAGAGGTAAATTTTTTAAAAAAGTTTTTGCACTTTGCATGCCTCTCAAACCTTCTCTGCATGCCTCGTTTTTTTTTTTTAAAAAAAAGGGGGGGAGTGGGCATGCAGAGCTTTGGGAGACTCCTGGGGGCTAGGGGGAGAGGCAAAAACGAGCAAAAGGGGCCCTTTTTGTTTGTTTTTGCCCTCCTCAGTCCCTAGTAACACCTTGCAAACCTCCCAAACCCACTGCACTTCCATTTTTGCAAAGGGGGCGGTGTTTTGGTAGGCCAAAAATTCTGTATTCAGTGTATAAGACGCACCCAGATTTTCACCCTCTTTTTTAAGGGAAAAAAGGTACGTCTTATACTTCGAAAAAAACGGTAAGCCTAAGTCCTTTTGCTATTGCTATGATTGCTCAAAAGCAAGCAAATTCATTACAGTAAAAGTAGCTTCCATGTGATACAATGGGTGCCTTGTCCTACAAACCTTTCCTTGTGCAATATTATTTCAACATTCTTTAGATAGAAATCTTGTTTTTATAGCAAACAAGTAGACCTACCTGGGCCAAAAAAAAAAGAGGAAATTACCTTTTCATGGACTAAAAAAGCCGAGCACTGTAGCGGAACACCCATCAGTTTGTGAGGATTCCATGTAACAGAATTGGCTCTAATTAAAGAAGAGAACTTTAATATCTGCAACTGCATTAATATCTGTGCTGATATCTGCAACTGTATGATCATAGAAACTCAACACACACAAAAAACATAGAAAGAAAAGGGGCGTTAAATGTGGAAGACTTAAAAGAAAAGAATATCAGGTTTTTTTAAAAAAAAGCTGGAAAAAAAATAAACTCTAAAATTATGTACAGATCACCAGTCTCACTATGATCCTATGTAAACGTATGCATTCGCTAGTGATTCAGGCACCATACAATCACACCAACTTAGTGAACAACCACTGTTCACTGTATATAAGCATCAGACTGGAAGTGGTTGATGGATTAAGAGCCGAGGTGGCGCAGTGGTTAAATGCAGCACTGCAGGCTACTGCTAGATCAGCAGTTCAGCGGTT